AAGGGACAACGTGCTTCTAACCCTCAGAAAGGGTTTCAAAGGCCCCGGCTGCATGCGTCTGCAGATGTCGTGTAGGTAACCACAGTGAGACTGTTTGGGCAGCCGCGCTGCTGCACCCTGAGCACTAGCAAGGCGTTGCTGTTCAAGTGGCGCCAAACGCGTAAGTAACCTGCTGGTTCAGAAGACCAAGAGCCTGCAGGCACTCTTGCTCGCATCTCCTTGCTTAAGCCTCATGGAACCCAGCTACCTCTTCCCAGGTGTTGCTTCGCTGTAATGCCATTACAGCTGCTCCGCAGGCAGTTGCCTGCGCACTCAACTGCACACCGAAGATTTTGGACCACCTGTGTGGTGCTCAGTTCAGGAGTATTGAGTTCCATGCCTCAAGTTCAAGCTTTGTGTCTTTGAAGCCACATGAAGAACCAGCCAGCAGGAGGCGGACAGCCCACTCCTCGCAGGCCAACAACGGCAAGTGAAGTGAGAGTTTCAGAAACAAGGCATCGACCCAGCGAGCAGCGGACGACATGGCAGCATTTGCGGAGCTCAACACAAAGTCATCCACCTGCGGTTAATGCTGTACTGGACCAGATTGGACTTTGTTGATTGCACACACCGCCGTCATTTGTCTGCCTGGAGGCATCTCTCATTGGCTGCACAAATCAGCTTCAGCGCCTGAAAAGACTGCATTTTATTGGAGTATCCGGCTGCATACGACACCAAAAATGGGAGGTGTGTGCTTCCATCTTGCACCGGCACCGATTCCCAGAAACTTGCGGCAGCAAATCCTGACCTTGCTTTGCGACGGCACAAGGCAGACACGCCGAAGAGGGAATGTCTGAGATGACATGCTGAGCCCCCTGCATGGTAGCACTTGTACCCACCTCTGGTTAAAACCGCATTAGCCATCAGTATGCACTGTGACTAATCACCTACTCAGCCCGAATGCACCTGTTATTTAATGATGTGCATGCACTTTTCGGGAACATCGCCTACTTCAAAGCCCAAACCATTGCAAGAGAAACTTATGTGATTCATGAAGTGCTGAGTCCTGCCTTCTCCTATGTGTCTGGGAAGCTGCACGCTCTATAGCTACGTTTTCCAGCCAAGTTGAACCACATAGCGGGTGATACATTGGTCACATATCCATATCTGCATGGATGCTGCTGATGCTCATGTTGCAGCAGCTTTGGAGCGGCAGGATAAGAGAGTGCTGATATTAGCATCGCAAATCGCGAATGGCAGCATGTGCCATTCCTCGTGTCAGGCACGGCAAGAACGTTTACAGCTCCGTCAAATGCAGTTCGGTTGGGCCCTGCATGGTCAGCTGGAGGACCGGTATGACCGGTTTCATGCACGGTCACTTTCCTGTCATTTCATCAAGCCGCCCAAGGACTCTTGGCAGGGAATGCCCACAACGATGACAGCAAAGGTCGTTGGTTGGTGCTCCTTGGTAATAACTTCGCTTCCCCTACCAACACGACTGCCGAAGATCGAAACCTGCCGCCATAGGCACCAGACTCCCAATGAATCGGTAAACATCTGTGTGTTTGCGCAGCAAGTGCAGCTTACTCGCCTGGGAGCTTTCAGATTCCAACTTGGACCTAGTTAACCAATTCCAATGCCAGTGGAAGGTGACTGGAGCAAGTTAGAAAGTTGGCGCATGGGCGCTTGAGCACAGCTTGCAGGGCCACATGCGCCTTCTCGGCTACTTGGTAAGTTTTGGTTCGCTGCGATGACAACGTATGAAGATGCCATGCGTCTGGTTGACAGCTTGGGTCCAGGACCACAACGGAAAGATGGTGGTCGCTTGGCACGCTTGGGCACGCAGCGCGCAGCTGGTGGCATCACAAAAGTTCTAGGCACTACAGCAGCCCTCTCTTTTCGCTTGAAGGGATTCAGGTATCCGCAAATGCAACGACGACATGCGCAAATTGGTGGGAATGCCTTCGGGCCTTCGGGCCTTGCAGCAGCTAGCGTGTAATGATCAAGACTCACCAAGACCTTACCAAGCCAGAGTCCCAGGTCCAAAGCCTGTAAGCTTTTCTAGTTTATGCTTTCAGGCTCCTCAGGCACAGCACGGGTGCCAATGAATCTACGAAAATCCGTGTGAATGCTTTGCCTCCCAGGGGGGTCCAAATTGGCTTGAACTTCGGCTGAGGCCCTGGACGACGTCTGTGCAGAACATGTTCCAGCAAGAGAACGCCAAGGCCTCAAGCTGGAAGGAGTTTTTGAAGGTGCAACTGCGACAAAGCCAATAAACTCACGACAAGCTACCCAGTTGGATCCTCGACCTTGTCATTTCACGATCTGATTGCCAACGATTCCAATCCGCCAAGGTGGCTAAGCAGTCGACTGATGGCAAGGAGCAGTGTGTTGTCAGAATCCTCCTTTGTAGCAAGACATTTGGCAAAGCTTCTGGAAGAGCACAGCGCCCCCACAGGGTGAGTCAAATACGCTGGACAGAAGGCCGCAAGTCAATGAACTTCGAGCTCTGTGAAATGCCCTGCCAAAAGCACATGTCTGGATTGGCAGGACGAAGCATACAGGACACCTCCGCCAGTCAGCCCCTCTCGCCAGACTGGAGAGCAAAGTCACCAAGCTCACCTTCACTGGAAGCAGAACATGCTCCGAAGCCCGACATTCTCTTGCGCTTCCTGCAACCGAGCTCTGAGCTGCATTGGGCCGAAGCAATGATGCTGCAAGCCCTCAGTCCACTCAGAGGAAAACCAACTGGGGACCGTCGAAATGTGACACGTTGAGCGGGGCACCCTTGAACAAAAGGGATGCTTGCATCCAGTTGCTCACCCCTCGGTGTGGCTGAAGGTGGTGAAAATGACTCTCAACTCTACGTGGGCCTCCACAGGCATGAGCCGCCGCGTTACAGGATACCTCGCTGGGCCTGCGAAGTCAAAGCACATCGATAAAGCATTTTGAGCATTTTGCGAACTGCTCCCATTCCGAGCTCGCAGAGGCCTGAATCGCCGTGAGCAGAGTGCCCGAGCCATACTCAACCTTAGTATGTGCCAAGTCTATGACACTCACTTCATTTTGCTACTTCACACAGGCGGGCACGATATGAGCCACAAGTTCATCCGACTGGAGGCACTGATTCCCTGCGAACACAAATTCCTAAATCACTTCAGGAGCTAGGTGGCCGATCTGTGGCCAAGGCAGCATTGACAGCTTCCACACCAGGTTGCCCGCACGGGGCATGCCTGCGATAGGAGTTGATCCACGTCCCACCAAAATTCTGCACCTCTGGGCTCCAGTCAGCATGTGAAGAACCATTGCCCAGCAAAATCCTTGACACGACATACCGTGAGCATGCGATGCATGCGCTGGAAGTTGCAAAGCTGCAGTCCTGACGCAGAATGAACCGACTCGGCTTGAGCGCCTTCACGGCAGCGTGCCGCAAACCCTATCCAAACTTCTGAGACCCAGTGGCCTCTGTCCAGCGCCTTCAACAAGTGCCAGACATGCAGGGCGGGCACATCTTTCTGAAGCAGGGCTGAGCCATAGGCTGCAGCAGCAGACGCAAGGCTCACTGCCTCACAGCTTTGGCTGACAGCCACCTTCATGCGGCGCCAAGCTGAGGCCGCAGCTGTGGGTCTCAATTTGCAATCTGCGGCCTCTGCCAGCAAGCCAATGGCCTGCCACGTACCCGCATCTACAAAACAAAACGTACCGTACAGGGAGAGAGGTGAGAGCACAGCCTTGCTCCATTGTTGGCACCTTCCAAATGCACTGATGGTTGAAGTCCATGCCTGGGAAAAGCAGAAACGGCGAAGACCTCTATTATGAAGCTGATCGAAGAGGCTCCCTTTAGATCCTCTGGCACTGATCAGCTGGTGACAACGATCGCGTGGGCTAGTTTTCCAAAATCCTGATATTGAAGTGTGCAGGCCAGGATTCTTCGGCATCCAACAGGCCGGCCGTCAATAAGAAATG